CACACACACACACACACACACACACACACACACACACACACACACACGGCTGTACGACACACACACACACACACACACTACCTGCATTGACGCACTCTGTCAAAACCTAAATGATGAAGGGAAACAGTGAAGGGGAATGTAACACGGGTGCTCTTATTCACAGCAGCAGCCTGTAATTAATTGGTGGACTCGCAGGAGCTAAGTGGCTAACTCTGGCAGCGGTTGTGGAGCTCGTTTGCTTACGAGGCAGGGGACATGAAAAGTGACATCACTGTATGAAATTAATAAAATGTGATACAACTCAAAATAAAAGTGGTATTGGGGGAAAAAATGGCATTGTAAAACAAAAATATTTGACGTAAAAATGCCTGCTGTGAAATAAAAAACTGACAAAAAAAACTGAAATTATTTTGTTTATCTATTTTTATAATCTATTTTACTAAACACATTGTGGCTTCCTTAACGTGGGATTGAACTTGCTCAGTGTTTGTGTTCACTTCTTCATCCGGTGTAAACTCGGCCTCAGTGAATTTATTCAATGAAGCGGTGAGGGCAGTGTGTGTGTGTGTGACTGCACGTGCCGGAGAAATGGAGAGAGCACAGATGGCAGCGTGACAGTGTTCCGTCTTACCTCTCCAAAAAAATACACTAAACACACTGAACCCCTCCCCTCCCAGCGATCCAGCCCGTTTCTCTATTTATAAAGCTCACGCTGCACAAGCGCTCGTCTGTTATTGAGCGTTTGTTCTCCCTTTCATTAAAGCATCAAGTCTGATGCATTCATAACTCCCCCTTATATATATATATATATATGTCCATGCATCCATCCATCTATCTATCCATCCATGCATCCATCCATCCGTCAATGCATGCATGCATCCCTCTATCCATCTATCTAACTGTCCATGCATCCCTCCATCCATCCATCTATCTGTCAATGCATGCATCCATCCCTCCATCCGTCCATCCATGCATCCATCCGTCAATGCAAGTATTCTTTCATCCATCACTTCTGTCAAATCCATTGTTAATCTCTGCTTTACATCAAAGATAAAGGACACACACATGCAGATGTAGCATCCATCACGGTTTGGTCAAAACGCACACACACACACACACACACACACACACACACACACACACACACAC